GCTATACCCAATTCAGCAAAGGCCCAGTCCATCCAATCCCAGAAAGAACCAATCAAGTCAAACCCGTTTAGACTAATCCAGCTCAGATACATCAAGTATAACCACGTCGAAATCCTTGTTAGTCAGTTCTCAGCTTACACCTATGTATTTCCCGATTGCCAAACAGAACAGACCCGTGATGATACAGAGTCCAGAAGAAGTTGTAGCCATGATAGCGGCATTACACTAGGGAATTGCCATGCAGGATGAGACCAATGTTGAAATGCAATGCCCATCTGGGGCATCTATTACACGTCCAATCCTGAGCCCCTAGTCGAGCTTTGATCCACCTCTGCCAACTGAAGATTTGCAAGGTCCAGATCCTGGAGAAGGGTTGGCTCAAGCTCGAGTTTTCAAACCCCTGGTGTAGCCTAATAAAGGGCTTTATCCCCCTGATATTAATGATCTTGACCCGACCTTGTTAAAAATTGCTAACCATGAAAAGCAATTTAAAAAGAAATAGGGACTTAACTCCATTCCAGACATTGAGGATGGGTACACCGAGGCTACCGTAAGGCTCCCAGATAGATTCAAAATGCCACACATTGACCGTTTCAACTGGTCTGGAGATCCTATGGTACATATCTGACTTTTCCTAGACATCCTAAAACCGATAGGTCAGACTAAGCCTCGGAAACTCTCTCTGTATAGAAGAATCATGTTGAATATAGTAGCCACTTAGTACGCCAAGTTGGAGGATAAAGTGAAGTAGAACCGGGAAGAATTGGCTAAGGCATTTGTCAATCAGTATTCTTACAATACCCAAATTGAAATGACCACCCAAGAGCTTGAAGTAACCCACCAAAATCTTGAGGAACCTTTTGTGGAATTGGTTGCAAGGTGGAGAGCAAAGGCCACACAAATGCCAGATTGACCTTCTAAGAGGGACTAAGTGCGGATAGTGGTGCAGAACCTTGAGCATGATATGTTACAAAAGTTAATAGTCAATCCACTATTCTGTTTCAAAACTTTGCACGAATTAGGAGTTCATATTGAGAGTGCATTCAACAAAGGGAATTATTCCCAAAATAGGCGACTCAACAAGGAGGGTGTTTTTCGGGAGTACCAATGCTAGCAGTAGCACTATTCGTGAACCCACTAAAATCAATATCGTCACCACCAATCCCAAAAATGCTGACCCTTTTGCCAATACCAACCCACAAACGGTTGGCCTAACCAGAGCTCAAGGCAGAACCTTCACCTCCTCCATATGAGTCTAACTAGCGCACTAAAAATCCTGATGAAAAGAGGGTTCCTCAAACCCCTTAATCCCCAACCACTTTCTGACCCACTCCCTACTAAACATAACCCACCAAATATTTTGTGTACCATCAACAACGCGGTCATGGCACCAATTGTTGTTACCGCCTTCGTCATGAGGTTCAGAATCTCATCGATAACCAAACATGTGAAGCCCCTAAAATATGTATTCACTTTAAAAACCCTAATGTTTGAATTATTTTCTTAAAGCCCCTCGGTTACTTGAATTAATTCGAATCTTGTCGGTTAGCATTACTATTTTTATTTTATCAAAACAGAAATTACCCTAGCCAGATTAGGTTCCCTAACCTAATTTAATTCTACATAAGTTACATATATTTAACTCCAAGCCCTCACTCTTTATTTAAATTCAAAACTTACCCAAAAACTAGTACTTGTACCTTGTACCTTGAAGTACCATCAATCATGTAATATATATATATATATATATATGTGTGTGTGTGCGTATACCAGTACCTAAAGTGATTAAAATAATAACCCATCACACTCCCCCAAGGCCGGCCACCCTAGGGAATAGAGAGGAGCCAATTTTCAAGATTCATGATGAAGATATTCTAGGAAACCGAAACCTAGTACCTTTGACCTAGGTTGCTAATTCCAAAACTAGTTCCATTCTAACTAGTATTGACCTAATCCTTGAGTAAGCCTCCCAAATCATCCCTATTTCCTTTAAAATTTCAAACCAATCCTAACCTTTCCATCCATTTCCAACTAATGGGCTTTTAGGACTTTTTACCCCCAAAATTACATATAAATACCAACCTCCCCTAAGCTTGGCAAGCACAAACACCACACCACACATACACATTTGGTTAGAGAGAGGGAGGAGAGAGAGAGAAGTCTAGAGGAGAAGGAGGAGGAAGAACGGAGCCTTCTTGTGCAAAGAAGCAAGTAAGCCACAAACGCAACCTTCTCTTTCATTTCCTTTTTCTAATGCATGTTTCTAAAGGTTCTAAATAATGTTTTCAGATCTGTTATTACTAAGTTCTTATGTTAAAAATGCTAAGGGTTGAGTATTGATTCCATCTTCCTTGCATTTTCCCCATTTTGGCACAAAACCATCTTCTTTTGTACCAATCTCTCAACTTTTCAAGGGCACTCCTTGAAACAAATTTTTTGAGTTAAGCATATGATAGTTAGCATATTTTCATCACAAAATAAATGAAACTTTCCCTTGGTGGAACCCCTTTTTCACAAATCTTCTTGTTTTGGGCAAAGTACCCTAGAATTTATTTTTGCAGCCCACTTCCAGAAATTCTAGAAAAATATAAAAATTATTCTAGACCTCTATTTTATGTCAAAACCTTCCTTAAGGTGTTATCTTTCAACTAAAATTGGTTTCATCGAAAAACATTAAGCGGTTTTCAATAAAATCAATTTTTCGCAACGGTCGACGGATCTGGACAGAACCTGGACAGCGTTGGAATATTTTCTAAATAACATAAAATCTGAAAAAGCAATCCCATTTCCGAAAAATGTTCTAGAAACTAGATCAAATCCTCTACGAGCCATAGGAAGGCCGAGTCCAGTGAAAGGTCTAAAATAGTCCTTACATTTTAATCTTTATGCAATGCTAAATCTGGAAACTGTGTTATGTGTGGATGTTTTATGCCCTTGAGTTCATGAGATTGCTTATTAGCTTATGATTACATCTTGGCATGATATTATATGTGTTGTGGTTATGTTATTTACCTTTCTCATCTTAAGAACGCATGCTTATATGGATATTATTGTCTTGTAAGTTGGACTAGCCTTGTTTTAAAACATTTAATTCAATCGGGAAACCTAATGGAGAGGGTAATGGGTTTTCGAGCACTTGAGTAATGAAAATATGAGTATATGTGATATATGGATTGTTGGGATGCGTTCCCTACTTGAAAGTTAAAGTCTTGTACAAGTGGTTTTCGGAACCCTTGAACGGAGCGGTTGTATTCAGACCCTAGGTGGTTTGGCGTAAGGAGGGATTTGGGCAAGGCCCTGTTTTACCATCTCTTTTGAGGCCCTGCGGTTGGCGCTACGCGGTATATAACCGTTGGTAGACATCCAAGGTTAGTTCTGCAACAAAGCAGCAAAAGAGGGGGCATACAGAATAATCCGCGTCCGATTCTTGTGGTTAGGAGGACGAAATCTCTTTGGGGGATTTCTAGTTGCTAACAACCTAACTTTACCATTTACTTATTTAATTGAGTATTGTGCTTTATTGCTTGATGTTATAATTGTGATTGTGTATTGGACTGGGAAAAATGGGTAGGGTGTGTGTGTGTTTACTGGGCATTCAAAGCTCACGGCGTATCATGCCAACTGACGGAGCGAAATTCATAGCTGAAGACGACGAGCCCGAAACTTTTGAAGACTTTTGGCTATCCTAGAAAAATTAGAAGTTTCTTTTTGGATGTTTTGTAAAGACTCATTTGAAGATTTAAGCTTTCTTTTGGGATGTAATGTACTGGAACCATCTTTTGAATTATATACACATTGTGGTTGTTATGTATTTATATTCTATGTTTGAACCTTATCGTTGCTTATGAGACCTTGTGTCAATACCTTTTAAGATTTGTCAAAAGGGTAGTGTGCTGCCTAATAAAGCTGGACTTAGAAGGGAGGCTATTTTGACTCCTCCGGCGATCTGGGATCTTACTTGGTTATTGACCATAGGACTTATTAGTGACTCTTCCTTGACTGCAACCAATAGTGTAGAATCGGGGCTGCACAACTTGGTATCAGAGCCTAGGTTCGACCCTTAACCCTCGCAACCCTATACGCTTCTCTAGAAGCCCTTACCCCTTATCTTATTTTATTCTATCACGCTATTATAAAAAGATTAACTAATAAAAATCTTTTCCACCTTAGGATGTCATCGAGAGACTATCCAGGACACGGTATCAGTACCGACTCGTGGGGTGTTTTTCGTATACAATGAAGGAGGGCCACGTCTGTCAACCCCTACTTCAGCTGCCGACGCTATGAAATCACCGCAGAGGAAATGATCAAAACCGAGATACGTAAGGTGGAGACGGAGTACACCCGCTATACGAGGGTGCATAAGAGGTCTCTGGTGTGGCGCCGCCTGCAATTTCTGAGTCGGGCAGCAAACAAGGCGATCCGAATGGAGCAAGATGAACAGAGGATGGACTCCTTGATACACCGAGCTTTGACCACCATAGCACCGACTCAGGCTGAAAGCCACGAATCTTGTTATCATGGGCCAGGCGACAATCAACCAATGGATATGAAGCAGCCACCAGAGCAGCAAGGAGCGAACCCAGCCTACCCTATAGAGATATCATCTGAACACAAACCCCCCTCACCAATGTACAGCCCCCGCTCTCCGGACCAAGCCACCGACTCCGCTGATGAAGACCCAGAAGAAGACTTTGATTGGTCGGGAAACGAGAACTAAATCGAGGGAGGGTAAGACTAGACTTTTGTAAGACCCACCGATGGGAATCCCTAGAATAAGATAGCCTGAACTTTGTAATGCATAGATGCTCTTTGAATGTAACTCCGATATAGGAGCCCTTTTGTAATGATGCCTATTATGATATATGAATGATGTGTTGATCTATGTTATTGACTGTTACTTGCTTTAGTGCACCCTAAGGAAACTGAACCTCTATTTCAAATCTAAGTAGTAAGATTTTCTAAGACTGGAAACCAACTCATCACATGCCATGAACAAAATGGTGGACACGCGAGCTAATGGCTATACCGAAACCAGCAACAATGTACGAAACCGTCACAGAAATCAACACGGGCCCATCCCTGTAGGGGCTGACAGCCCAAATAACCTAGGTCATCAAATTTTGGAGGAACTAGGGCAAATAAGGAACAATCAACAGAGTGAGAGGACTCGACTCTTTTCTGAGTTTCGGAAGCAGAGGCCTCCAAAGTTCACAAGCGTACCAGACCCAAAGGTAGCTGAAAATTGGCTCCGACAGATAGAGAAAATGCTAGACACTATGGGCATAACCGAGGCCGCTGATAGAATAGCTTTGGTAGTATTTGAGCTGGATGATGAGGCTGACCATTGGTGGGAGTTAATCAAGAATACTCGTGATGTAGCGAGCCTATCATGGAACCAGTTCAGGGAACTATTCCTAAATAAATATTTCCCAAGTACTATCCGTCGAGAACGAGTCAAGGAATTCCAAAACTTGGAGCAAGGGAATATGACTGTGACCCAGTATGCTGCAAAATTTGAAGAGCTAGCCCGATACACAACCAGATACGTAGCAAATGATGAAGAGAAAGCAAGGATGTTCGAGTGGAGACTGGACCTTACAATCAGAGGAAGAGTCCTCCTGCAACGACTCCCCTCATATGCCGAGGTGCTAGAAACGGCATTAGAATCTGAAAGGGAAGTGAACGACGCCAGGAAGGCTTGGAACAAGAGAAAAGAGAGTCAGGCGTCTATTGGACCTCAGAGGAACCAGAGAGGAAGCGTGACCTCAAAACCCTACTCCAAACCACAACCACAACAACAACGAGAGCAACCGCAGCAACAGATCCAGAGAGGAGGCTATCAATAAAGGGCGGTGGGACAAATTCAGTGCTTTCATTGCCAACAGTTAGGACACAAAAAGAGCAAATGCCCCCAACTCCTCCATCGGGATACCAAGGAGAAGGTTCCGGAGCAAATGCCCAGCCATTAGGTGGGTAGAAGCCTTGGACAAATAAGACAGGATCTACCGAGCAGCAGCACCAGAAGAGTGGAGGAACTCAGAACGCCAAGACCAGTGGCAACCATAAGGCAATCGGCAGAATCTTTGCCCTGCAAGAGGAAGAAGCGGACCCGTCTGTAATTGAGGGTAATTTAGTACTATACAATTCTTGGGTGCATGTTTTACATGATACCGGTGCATCGCATTCTTTTATATCCTCTGCTTGTGCTAAGTCATTAGAACTTGTATGTGAACCTTTAGAAACTGCCTTAAGTGTAATGTCACCAATGGGAGGATGCGTTCGGGTAGGATCGATCTGTAAGGACTGTAAGATAGGGATGTCGAACCTACGCTTAACTTGCGACCGTCGTATCATGGAAATGTCGGACTTCGATATCATCTTGGGCATGGATTGGTTGTTCGCCCACCGAGCTGTGATCGACTGTCGCCAGAAGAAAGTGGCAGCTCATATGCAAGATAGAATACGTTTCCAGTTTAAGGGGGATAGGCAAGACCACATGGTTTCAACCAAACATCAGACGCAGTGGCGCGATCAACTTGCGGGTAGGATAGCAAGCCTGATTCTAAATGAAGAAGACCAAGGAGAAATAGAACTTCCGCGCGTAGTATGCGATTATGCAGATATATTTCCTACGGAATTACCAGGATTTTCGCCAACCCGGGAAGTAAACTTTAGCATCAAGCTACAACCTGGAACTACACCAATATCCATGGCTCCGTATCACATGGCACCAGTAGAGCTACGAGAATTGAAGACACAACTACAGGAATTGCTCGAGAGAGGATTCATTAGGCCAAGTACTTCGCCATGGGGAGCACTCGTGTTGTTTACTAAAAAGACGGATGGATCGTTGAGGCTATGCATCGATTATCGTCAACTCAATCGAGTCACGATTAAGAACCGATACCCACTCCCAAGGATTGATGACCTTTTTGACCAACTTAGAGGCTCAAGGTGTTATTCAAAGATCGATCTCAGGTCAGGTTACCATCAACTACGAGTCAAGGAGGAGGATATACCAAAGACTGCCTTTCGTACTAGATATGGCCACTATGAGTTTGTAGTAATGCCCTTCGGACTAACCAACGCACCGGCAGTATTCATGAGCCTAATGAATAAGATTTTTAGACCATACCTTGACCAGTTTGTAGTAGTATTGATTGATGACATCTTGGTATATTCAAGGTCTGAAGAAGAGCATGAGCAACATTTAAGGACTGTCATTCAAGTTCTTAGGGATAATCAGTTATATGCCAAGGCGAGTAAATGTGAGTTTTGGTTGAATGAAGTAAAGCTCTTAGGGAATGTGGTATCAGAGAATGGGATTGCAGTGGATTCAACCAAGGTGGAGGCAGTATTAGATTGGAGGCAACCAAAGACCGTGTCAGAAATCCGCAGCTTCTTAGGATTGGCCGGTTATTACCGGAGGTTCATCCAAGATTTCTCCAAACTAGCTAAACCAATGACTTGTTTGACGCAAAAGGGAGTAAAATACAAGTGGGACGAGGCTTGCGAAAAATCCTTCCAATAGCTAAAGAAGAGGTTAACTAGTGCACCAATTTTGACCATCCCAGAATGAGAAGAGGGGTACACTGTGTATTGCGATGCGTCTAAAGAAGGATTAGGTTGCGTGCTCATGCAAAAATTGAAAGGTAGTCGCATATGGATCCAGGCAGTTAAAACCTCACGAGTGCAACTACCCCACACATGACTTGGAGTTAGCAGCCGTAGTTTTTGCCCTAAAGCAGTGGCGACATTACCTGTATGAGGAACAATTTGACATTTTCACAGATCACAAGAGTCTGAAGTATCTATTCACAGAGAAGGACCTTAACTTGAGGCAAAGCTGATGGATGGAGTATCTTGAGGATTTCTAGTTCACTCTCTCATATCACCCCAGTAAAGCCAATGTAGTAGCAGATGCTTTAAGTCGCAAGAATAGAGGGATGATGGCTAAGATCTCCATCAAGGAATGGGATATGGTTCAGACACTCAATGAGTTCAGGATCCAAGTAGAATCTCAAGATACAAAAGCATATCTTAGTGCGCAGAAGGTGATGCCTAAGTTGATGAATTAGGTCATGGAGGCCCAGAAGCACGATCAAGAGGTAGCCTACATCAAGGGACGTCTGGAATCAGGAGAGCCCATGCCCGATTGGGTAATTCACCCTGATAGGAGTTTAAAATACCAAGGTAGATTGGTTGTACCAAGTGACGAGTTACGTAGAGAAAAGGTACTGAAGGAATGTCATCATTCTGCATTCGCGGTACATCCAGGAGGGACTAAAATGTACCAAGATTTGAAGAGGCAGTATTGGTGGAATGGAATGAAGAAGGAAGTGGCTAAATTTGTAGCAAGATGTCTGACCGGCCAACAAGTGAAGGCGGAACATCAGAAACCAGGGGGAATGTTGCAACCTCTACTGATAGCCGAATGGAAGTAGGAGTACGTGACGATGGACTTTGTGGCAGGGTTGCCTAAGTCACCTAGAGGGCGCGATGCTACATGGGTAATTGTGGATCGCCTCACCAAGTCAACGCATTTCTTACCCTATAAGATGACCGACACTTTAGAGTCTATGTGCAGACTCTACATTGGGGAGATCATTCGACTACATGGAATTCCGGTATCTATTGTGTCAGATTGTGATCCACGATTCACCTCTCGATTTTGGGGGAGCCTACAGGCAGCTCTTGGTACTGAGTTATGTTTTAGCACCGCCTTTCACCCACAGACAGCTGGACAATCTGGGCGCACTATCCAGACACTCGAAGATATGCTAAGAGTTTGCGCAATGGATTTTCAAGGAAGTTGGGAACGACAGCTACCCCTAGTTGAATTCGCCTACAACAACAGCTTTCAAGCTATCATCGGTATGGCACCTTTTGAAGCATTATACGGACGACCGTGCAGATCGTCGATTTGTTGGACGGAAGTGGGTGATGCAAATCTGATAGGACCCGAACTGATTCTTGAAACTACTGAGAAGGTCAAATTGATCCGACAACGGTTAAAGACTGCCCAAGACTGTCAAAGAAATTGTGCAGACAAGAGGAGAAGACCATTGATGTTTGAAGTAGGCAGCCACGTGTTCTTAAAGGTGCAACCCAGGCGTGGAGTCTTACGTTTTGGGAGAAAGGAGAAGCTGTCACCACGATATATTGGGCCTTTTGAGGTATTGGAATGAGTGGGCGAAGTAGCATATAGACTAGCTCTACCCCCTCAGTTAGCAGGGATACACAACGTCTTCCATGTATCTATGTTGAGAAAATACACTGCTGACCCGACGCACGTCCTCAAATGGGAGGAGATCAGTCTTAACAAAGATATTACGCTTAAAGAAGGACCGGTAGCAATACAAGATCGTCGAGAAAAGAACCTTAGAGGCAAGGCGGTTCACTTGGTGAAAGTGCTATGGCGTTATCGGATAATTGAGCAATCTACTTGGGAACGCCAGGATTGGGTGAAGGAAAACTACCCCGAGCTTTTCGAAGGCAGTATGTAGTTGAATTTCGAGGAGGAAATTGTCTTAAGGGGGATAGGTTGTGAAGCCCCCGAAATATGTATTCACTTTAAAAACCCTAATGTTTGAATTATTTTCTTAAAGCCCCTCTGTTACTTGAATTAATTCGAATCTTGTCGGTTAGCATTACTATTTTTATTTTATCAAAACAAAAATTACCCTAGCCGGATTAGGTTCCCTAACCTAATTTAATTCTACATAAGTTACATATATTTAACTCCAAGCCCTCACTCTTTATTTAAATTCAAAACTTACCCAAAAACTAGTACTTGCACCATGTACCTTGACCCAAAGTGATTAGTACCTAAAGTGATTAAAATAATATATATATATATATATGTATGTATTTGTGTGTACTAGTACCTAAAGTGATTAAAATAATAACCCATCACACTCCCCCATGGCCGGCCACCCTAGGGAATAGAGAGGAGCCAATTTTCAAGATTCATGATGAAGATATTCTAGGAAACCCAAACCTAGTACCTTAGACCTAGGTTGCTAATTCCAAAACTAGTTCCATTCTAACTAGTATTGACCTAATCCTTGAGTAAGTCTCCGAAATCATCCCTATTTCCTTTAAAATTTCAAACCAATCCTAACCTTTCCATCCATTTCCAACTAATGGGCTTTTAGGACTTTTTACCCCCAAAATTGCCAATAAATACCAACCTCCCCTAAGCATGGCAAGCACAAACACCACACCACACACACACATTCGGTTAGAGAGAGGGAGGAGAGAGAGAGAGAGAGAGAGAGAAGTCTAGAGGAGAAGAAGGAGGGAAAAGGGAGCCTTCTTGTGCAAAGAAGCAAGTAAGCCACAAACACAACCACCTCTTTCATTTCCTTTTTCTAATGCATGTTTCTAAAGGTTTGAAATAATGTTTTCAAATCTATTATTACTAAGTTCTTATGTTAAAAATGCTAAGGGTTGAGTATTGGTTCCATCTTCCTTGCATTTTTCCCATTTTGGCACAAAACCATCTTCTTTTGTACCAATCTCTCAACTTTTCAAGGGCACTCCTTGAAACAAATTTTTTGAGTTAACCATATGATAGTTAGCATATTTTCTTCACAAAATAAATGAAAATTTCCCTTGGTGGAACCCCTTTTTCATAAATCTTCTTGTTTTGGGCAAAGTACCCTAGAATCTATTTTTGCAGCCCACTTCCAGAAATTCAAGAAAAATGTAAAAATTATTCTGGACCTCTATTTTATGTCAAAACCTTTCTTAAGGTGTTATATTTCAACTAAAATTGGTTTCATCGAAAAACATTAAGCGGTTTTCAATAAAATCAATTTTTCGTAACGGTCAACGGATCTAG